ATCCATCCTCACATGCTCTGTGCATGCAGGAGAATCCACCCTCACATACGCTGCCATGCAGGGGAACCCCACTCACATGCTCTGCACATGCAGGGGAATTCCCCCTCCCCATTCTCTCTTCCCCTTACTGTTTCATTGATCCACTGTGACCTATTGATTAATTTCATTGGTCAGATTTGTATTTATTTATTTATTTTTACCTTTATTTATACAGGTAGTCTCATTGAGTCATGAGGACCCACCCTCCAAAAGAGACGTGTACTGGGCAGCTATGTGAGCACTCGGGTGTGACTAGGCTAAATGTTTTTGCGGCATGAAGTTCGTTAGCCCATCGAAAAAAAATAAAAATCCACAAATCAGCCACAGCATTGTATAAGCGTGTGAAAAAAGTAGCTGCTTATAGTCTGGACATTACGGTACATTTTCTCAAGGGATGCATAGCCTTTATTTTTCTTTTTTATTCCCAGTGCACATGATCTCTCAAAGTGGGACCTCTTCACAAGCAACTACAGGTTGCTCAACACAGGTCTGCAGAACGGAGATATGCTTGAGCAGGTATGGAGTGAAATGTTCAACTAATGTCCATCAGTGTGTTTATGAACACCTATAGGACTAGAAATGTAAATAAATGTCTTCTAACTGCTCATTATGGTACAGATATGTTAGAATCTATGTAAATAGTTTTAATTTAACCTTTTTAAGGAACCTGTGTTATTCTTTGAATTTCTTGATCATTCAAGTCTGTAATAAAACATGAAATGAAATATTGTGACTCATCCCATCTTCTCGGTTTTGCTTTAGATCGTGATCCATGCAATGCAGTGCACACATTACATCGTCCTGTGGAATCTGGCCAAGGTGTCAGATGGCAGTTCAATAAAGGTATTGGTCATGACCATGTTTGGCTAGTTGTTTTATGTTTAAAAAAATAATAACTATTGTTTCCTTAAAGGCTAAACTGTAGGTTCCTAAACACCTTGATGATCCTCATAGTTAAATTATTGATTTGAAAGTATCAATATAAGCCCCGTTCCAGGACTGCCTCACTGATCATTGTCTTATTTTAGGGTGATATGGTGACGCTGAGAAAGCAAATGAGAGCTTTCTGTTTAATGTGTCAGCGATACTTGAACAGCATCAACACAGCAGTTAAAGAGCAGGTGGGTTGTTGATGATTATTGACTTTTAAAACTATACACTTTTTATAAGGTGGGATGTAATGGTCTAGTCTCCACATAAACATACGACTGTAAACTTTCTCTTGTCTGGCCACAACTTCTCACTCACTCAAGATAATGCAACTAGACTTCATACTCAAGTGCATCTTCACTAGATGGGTGTGTCTTGTACACTTGTCATCACCCTAGCTTCAAGGTCAAGGTCATTAATCAAGGTCAAAGTTAAAACCGTCTTTGCTTTCTGGGCCATTGCTATAGATGTATAATATTTTGTCAATGAGCGTATAATGTGCTGTATGCTCTACTCTTAATCTGTTCATCTTTCTTTACTTTAACTGTAAATTTGCTCAACTTTTGTTTGAACGTGACGTTTTACTTGCAGGCTTTTACCATACTGTGTGATCTGCTGCTGATCTTCAGTCACCAAATGCTGTCGTCAGGCCGGGAACATCTGGAGACTCTGGTCTACGTACCAGACTCCTCTCTGCAGGCAGAGCTGCTCAACTTCATCCTGGATCATGTTTTCATTGATCAGGATGATGACAGCAACAGCACAGGTTCAAATCTGTGGCTCAGTCTTGTATTACACCCAGCATTTTTATTTATTCATTTATATTGTTTTATTTGGTTTTTTTTCCACAGATGGCCAACAGGATGATGAAGCCAGTAAAATCGAAGCTCTTCACAAGCGGAGAAACCTTCTCGCTGCTTATTGCAAATTAATCATTTACAATGTTGTTGAAATGAATACTGGAGCAGATATATTTAAACAGTACATGAGAGTAGGTATATGTTATTCAGTAATGTAAAGGAATTATGCACATCTGCAGCTTTTTTTTCCACAACTTTTCTTCTCTTTCTTCACAGTATTACAACGATTATGGTGATATAATCAAGGAAACGATGAGTAAAACGAGACAAATTGACAAAATACAGTGTGCAAAGACGCTCATAATGAGCCTTCAAAAGGTAATGTTTTTGTCGACTCATCAAAGCCTAAATTGACCTCAAATCAATTTTAGACTTTAATGGTGTTTAACTTTTCATAACTGTTCTTAAATCTCTTCTTTGTTTAAAATAGAATACCATACCAATTTATTTATATAGCACTTTAAACAGTGACAAAGCACACCAAAGTGCTGTACAGGGACAAACAGAACAAGCACATAGCAACAGATTACATAACAGGACACCAAAAAGTAGAAACCAACAAAAACAATAATGGATAACAACAACAACCGCAACATGACTAACACAGAGTGATGCACACAGACTCAGCACAGATCACACAGTGCTGAAAGCCAGGGAATAGAAGTGTGTTTTTAAGCGAGATTTAAAAACTGTGAGGGAGGGGGCCAGTCTAACGAGCAGAGGTAACTCATTCCAAAGTCTTGGGCCTGCTACAGAGAAGGCCCTGTCACCTCTGCGCTTGAGACGGGTTCCTGGGACTGTTAGGAGCAACTGGTCTGCTGATCCGAGAGAACGTGGTGGGACATACGGCTGGAGCAGATCAGTAAGATAGGAGGGGGCAGAGCTGTTTAGTGATTTATAGACATACAAGAGTATTTTGAATTTGATTCAAATAAACATGTTGCTGTCTTGTTTTACAGTTCATTACTTCATTTGATTCATGATGTGTTGCTACAACAGAATGCACTTTAATGTGTACCTTAATCTAGATTGAAATGCTCTACTCTGTAATCTAACAGACAAATGTCTTTAATTACAGTTATTTAATGAGATGCTGTCTGAACTTGGCTTCATGTTCGATCGCTCGTCTTCAGCCTTCTGCGGCATCAAAGAGCTCGCTCGACGCTTCTCCTTGACGTTCGGTTTGGATCAGCTGAAAACGCGCGAAGCTGTTGCCATGTTGCACAAGTGAGTAACTGTGATGAGCAAAAACATTTAATTTATCCAGTTTGTGTTTTAGCAAGCCAAGAAAGCTGTTCTTGTGTTTTTGTTTGGTTTTAGAGATGGGATCGAGTTTGCGTTTAAAGAACTTAGTCCTCAAGGAGAAGGGGGTCCACCACTTAATCTAGCATTTTTGGATATCCTGAGCGAGTTCTCGAGCAAGCTGATGCGACAGGATAAGAGGACAGTGTGAGTTTGCAGCATAAAAGGCAATGTGAGCTCTTTCCCTAACCAGGAACCATGAGAAGGCTTTAACCTGGACTGTTCCTCTGACTCCTACAGTCACATGTACCTGGAGCGATTCATGACGTTTCAGATGGCTCTTCAGAGGGAGGACTGCTGGATGCCCCTCATTGCATACAGGAACTCCCTGCAGGCCGGAGGAGATGATGACACCATGTCTGTCATCAGCGGGATCAGCAGCCGGGGGTCCACCGTCAGGAGTAAGAAGTCCAAACCAGCCGCTGCATGCAAAAGAAAATTGCCTGAAGGTGAGCAGTTTTATATCATAATTATTTACTTCATATACTGCACAAGCCATACACCATGTAACCTAATACTGGACCTTTTTTTTTTTTTTAACTTTTTCTGTTAGCTAGTTGCTTTGTATGTAGTTCTGGAATATAGAATCATAAACGTTAAGGTTTGTTTTCTTTTTTCTTTAAGTTTATTTATTTTTTTTATTCATAAAGTGAGATTAATCAATTCAATTCAGTTTAGTTTTATTTATAAAGCACCAATTCACAACAAAGTTGTTTCAGGGCACTGAACAGAAACATTCACATACATAGAAAAGCTAATTAGTAAAGTTCTTTATCTAAGGAGGCCAGCAGACAAGTTGAATCTTCACTTTGTCACAGTCTCCCATCTTGAGCAAGCACAGTGGCAACAGTGGAAAGGAAAAACTCCCTTTTTAAAAGGAAGAAACCTCCATCAGAACCAGGCTCAGGACAAGCAGCCATCTGCTTTGACCGGCTGGTTTGAGAGGTCAGGAAGGAGAGACAAACAAACACAGAATGACAGGTCCAGATGTAGGTGCAGGTGTACCTGAAAGACAAAAACACATGTTAAGGATAGAAAATAATTACAAATACAAAGCAGGTTGAGCAGCGTAAGTAAAGACAGTAGTATAGTGAAAAAATGTGGTCAGTTTGTCCTCCAGCAGTCTAAGCCTGTAGCAGCATAACTAAGGGATAGCTCAGGAAATCCAAGCCAACCCTAACTATAGGATTTATCAAATCTATGATGGCTAAAGCCACCCTTCCCTTTGGCTCTCTGTTCTTCTCCACAGTGTAACCCCTACCCACTTGAATACATTGCACCCAAAACGTTCAGTTTTACTTCCATCCCCTTTTCAATTCCAGTCTATAAAAACACCCAACTTGAAAACTACAAGAATTCACTATTCAGATCCCTCAGCGGGGGCGGGGGTGGGGTGCATTAGCGTACCGCCTGTTTCTTTATATATTTTCAGGCATCTTTAGGTATTATCTTTGATGGACTTTGTGTTTGTCTAGACTCATTAGGATTGGAGTCATGTGTTAAACATGGAAACGTGGTGTGTCTGCATGCTGGATGACGTTTTACTGGGTTTATTGCCTCCATCCGCTGCTGTTTAATAAGAAGACAAACTATTTTGCATTTGTTGGTAAATTTGAAGGAGTTATTTTCTCTGCAGAGGAGAACAGCTGCAGCAGCAGTGATGCAGTCTGGATGAACCGTGAGCAGAGTGTGCCGACTCCAGTTATGATGCATTCCCCCCACCTCACTTCCACGGTGCTGAGGGATCCAAAGAAGATGAGGCCAGAGGACAGCTACACGCCCACGTTCAGCATGCCAGCAGAGCAGCACCCTCATCAAGCTCTTCCTCCACAGCAGCACCTACTTCATCAGCACCAGGCTGCCATTGACTACAAGTACAAAAACTTCTGTTAAACACCTGCAGCTGTTGCTGTTTAGAATATAGTAAACTATGTGCATTATTGAGTTATACGTGTTTACTGAACCTTGTCTCTCAGTACCCAGGTTACTTGGATGTTAACACAGAGGCAACAAGCTGAAGCCCGTCAGCACCAAGAGCGGGTTAGCATGCACTACGCCAAGATGAGGAACCACATGCAGCAAGCCATGTAAGACAACGTCTGTCTTTAGCGAGCGTTGATAAGATTTAACAGTAATTAACAAACACCAGGGGGAGAAAATGTCTACTAACAGATTTGCCCTTTGCCTCTGTAGGCGTCGAGGGTCTGGATTAATGGAGGATGATGAGGAACCAATTGTAGAGGATGTGATGATGTCATCAGAGGACCGCTTGGAAGACATGAATGAGGGCATGGATTTTAATACAATGGACATCGATTTGGTAATTAATGCAACGAGTATCTAAATGATGTGGAGCTGTGGATAAAGTGCCAACAAAGTTTTATTTAGAAATGGATCAAATAATTTTTCTTACCTCTAACGTGTTTGAGTCTGGTCCTCTGGATGGGTTCTTCTTTGTTCATACAATCTTATTTTAGAAGGAAAGAGTTCCTCCACGGTTCATTCAATTCACTTAATGACAATCTTTAAAATGTCATCTTCTTCTGTGACTTTCATGTTTTGTTTTGTTTTTACTTTTCAGCCGGCATCTAAAAATCGAAGGGAAAGGACCGAACTGAAGACAGACTACTTTGATCCTTCTTCCATTATGGATGATTCGGTAAAGATATATTTAGCTTATTATATAATGTTTATTGTGTCTCCGGATATATTTTTTTAAAATGTACTTAATGTTTTCTGACCAGAAAATTATTAAATAAAAATAAATAAAATTCAAGTTGAAAGGAATTCTATTGTTTAAAGAATGTTGTTATGTTTTTGTATGTAAAAGCAGCTGCATATAGAATAAAAATATTTTGTAAAGCTACGAGATGTGTTTGTTTAAAACAATGTTTTGTCCTCTGTCAGGTAGAGAAGAGAGAGAATTGGAAATATCCTTCATCTGTCTGTGCATGTTGTGGTGATAACTTGAAAAATAAGTGAGGTGTGGCTACATCTAGACGTAAGAAAGATCACTTAAAAATTGGGTTGCCATGTCAAAATTCAAAATAGCTGCTGCCATGTATGCATATAAGTAAACCTTGGGAGCTGGATAACTTGAAACGTAAGCAACGTGTCGACTTCCATTTTGCTGTATGGCTGCATCGACGTAAGAAAGGTCAATATTGAAAATTGGGTTGCCACATCAAAATTTGAGATGGCCACCACCATATGTAAACTGGCCACCGTAATAATTTGAGAAACCCATGCTGTCCAGTTCTTATATTACTTCAAGGTGTAGCTTCCTCAGATGATTGACCTAAGATCAATCTGTAGGGGGCAAGGCCATCATTGGCCACCTCGTGGCTCCACCATTGTACCTTCATGACGTTGGATCAAACAAAACAAAAAAAAGCTCATAAAGAAGACTGGCTCAGATCTGGAGACTCTTCTAGAAAATTTGGAGATGATTGTACAAAGAAAGATTCTTCATAAAATGAAGAACATTATGGACAATCTTCAGCATCCTCTTCATCAGACTGTCTTACAACATCAGTGTGTCTTCAGTCAGAGGCTTCTTCAGATCCGCTGTAACAAGAGATCCTTCCTGCCCACAGCCAGCAGCATCTATAACAACTGTTTAATGAAACCAGGATGATGAGTTACAACATTTAATTTCCCTTTGGGATTAATAAATATTTTTGAATTGAACTGAGTAAAATTGCTCCCTCTGTCTTGGACAAGTGAAAAATAAAAACCTACCCCTGTTCTTATATGCAATGTAACGCCTTCCCACTTGAATATCTTGCACCAAAAACATTAAGGTTTGCTTGCGCTCCATGTTCGATTCCAGCCCAGAAAAACACTCATCTCAAAAGTTATTAACATCCCAAAAAAATCCCGTAGCAACGGGGAAGGAGTGGGGGCATCGGTGTTGTTAATTTACATGTTCCGTTGTAGCGAATTCTACCAAATGCTGCTTTTTGTATTTTAACAGAAAAAGATAAAATCTTGATGAAATTGCTAAATGATGCATTTTATCACACGATTTATAACTTATTTTGTTTCTGCCTTTAGGTCCTCAATGTTTCCATGTTCTAACTTGAACATCAGAATCAGACGAAGCTGAAATGACCGTTGTCTGTGAAAAGAAGTGAGATGGACTAACACGACTGGCTTGTAAGACACCAACATTTACACTTCTGTTAAGATTTGGAGGGCGAGCTTGAATATAACAATTCTTTCTGCTGCTTTTCACACCGAACTTTTGTCTGAATGCAAGAAAAAAGGATTCTGTTTTTATTCATTTGCCCTGAAAGCGACTAGGTGTCAACGTTCACGAGGCTGGACCTGTCTGAGTCGATGCAGGATGCTGCTTGGGCGAATAAAGGTGCCAGTGCAGCGGCAGGTTTTATAGTAAAGAAGTTAAGCTGAAATATGACTACTATAAGTTGTTTTTGTTTCCATAACAATGTCTTTACATAGTGGCCAATAATTAGGAGGGATGAACACAATTTTAATAACGTCAAAATACAGAATTAAAAAAAAAGTTTAGAAAGTCTACGACTTTTATCATTCTTTTTGTGTTCAGTTGTTTAGGACTATAGTTATACCGAACTTTGCCAAATACGTAATATAACAGCTCAAATGTAATTATACAGCCATATTTCTATAAATAATTACAGGCTAAATTCCACGCCTCTCTAATGCAATGCAAACAAAATGAACATCAAGAAGTTTTATAAAAGCAGTACTTACTACGTTAGTGAGGTTGTGTTCACTTGTCGTCGCAAAAAGTAGATTTTGGCATGGCATGTAGCCATATCATCAGATCTGTGCACAGTAGAGGAGCATTTGAGCTGCCGTGTCATACTCTTCAAAGGCCTTGCCACAAGTGGTATATCGCATTCTCAGATTTCTTTGTGATGGTATTTTTTAGAATTGTGTGTTCTGCTTTTATACCTTATAGATAAATTTGATTTTTAGATATTTTCTATGGACAATCAGATGTAAATTAATTGTTTCTAATCATGTTATTTCACACAAATACTGAAAAAAATAATAATTTTTATTGGAAATGGAATGGTGTTACAATAGATATGGCTGTCTGTTTCTATTTTTCTTTATTCTGTAATTAATAGGCACAGAATTATTGCATTAGTCAAATGTAGTTATATGACAAATTGATGGCTGCGTCAAAAAAAATATTTTTTAATGATGGCATATAGTATTTTTTTTTTGTAATGGCATTTATAATGTCATGCATAAAATTCTTGACCCAACTTAAAACATGTATTCTCTCCTATATCAATTGTGTTTATCATGGTACAATAACTAATATCTAATAATGCAAGCATGCCATGGTCATGATTTACATTTTGGAAACTAAAGGATTTGAAAAATAGTGAAGACCGTTGTGTTTTTTTTCCTTTTTCTCTTTGGTTTGCTGTTGTGCAAAGGATTTTTCACACGTATGTGGTTTTTGACTGGTCTGGTAAAATATTAAAAAAATTATACTAAACTACAAGGTCACAAAATTCTTTGTCCATCTATGATGGTGTAGGAATTGTAAATTATACAATTGCATATGTGTAATAACTTGTGAATGGGTGTTTTTTTTTTCTCTCCCACTTTTGTGTAAATTTTAAAGTAATAAAGCAAAATAATGTCACTCTGACATTAACCCACTAATTTGAAATTGTGCATGGTTTTCCATTTGTTTTCTGTGAATTATTTATTTTCCTTTGAGCTTTGGCCTGGTTGGCAGATTCAAACTATAGAAAATGGTATTAAATATCTACTGTAGCTTGAAACAAATCTAGTTTTGTTCAGACATCGCTGTAAACTACAGAAAGACACAATATAGACTTGAACATCACAACATTCATATTAAGAATTCATGTTAGACAAACGAGACAAATACATCATAGAAATACTTGTAAATCTACATAAACATGTTATTTTGGATCGTTTCCGTTTGTCATCGAACTGCTGAAAATGTGCGTATATACAGTATGTATGTTTATACATATTTAAATATATTAAATTTGTCTTTATATTCTATTTACAAAGTGCCCATTGCATCCTTTAATATTTGTATTTATGTCTGGAGATGTAACGTAACCAAATAAATCCTCTGAAACTAATTCTGACATGGCTGTCCATCCACACAGAGACATTTGGTGTGTGTGTGTGTGTGTGTGTGTGTGTGTGTGTGTGTGTGTGTG